GCACTGCAGAGGAGGAACACCAAAAACAGCTTACCATCTGATGACGACGAGAACAGCACCACAATCTAGTACTGTTCCTGGCAGGGTCGTGCTACTGGAAAAAGATTCCATAAAAGGAGGGAAGGGGAAGGTGCAGTTAATTACAGTCATAAGCACCATTTGTTATTTGGAAGGAAACACAAAGGTATTTCAAATGCTGTCAAGATGAGAAAGAAGGGAAACCAAATTTAAAACCTATCTTCTTAGACTGTTTCAGCCTTAACAGAATTGTGACATCAACAAGTAAGTTTTACCCTCCGTAAAAAAACCTTTTACAGCACAAATCCAGGAACAACTTAAAGAAATCCCTCTTCTAGCCTAGAACCCCCAAAATCCTGATCTTAAGCCAAGCAAATAGCCTTTAAAAGAGTGGAGCTAGGCATTCCAGAAGAAATTTTGCAGCAAAATACCAAGAAGGTAGCAGCACAGCACCTTGAGCCAGACAAACCTGCCTTTCAGACACATGGCCCAGTCTTTCATTTACCCTGATGGAGAGAGCTGAACTTTCTCACCTCTATGGAGCAGCGTGTTTCTTAACATTAGCCTTACGGACAGGAATTCTGTACCAAAATGACATACTAAACCACAACAAATATTTATCAGGATCTCCCTCAGTCAAGTTACAGGGTTTTCTGGGGTCTGCAGATGGGCGTCTTTTGCAGTTTGACACTTGTGCAGATACACAGGAAAAATGTCAGTTCTGTGAGGCTCAGCTGCTCTTGGTGAAGGACTAACAAAACTTTCAACCAGCAGCCACCCACCTACTGATAAAAAGCAAAACACTGGAACTCTTGAGTGGTTCACACTCATTTTGTCCTGCATAGCAGATTAGGAAATTGGCACATGACAACACTCACATAGCAATAGGACACGATTCCAAGCTACTCAAACTAGGAGCTGCTATTCTTGCATGGAGATTAAAACCAGCACAAAACATTTATCAAGAGATAAATCAACAGAACCCTGTATTCCAGTGTTTCTACACATAATACTTGAAGGCCTTAAACGTGGCATAATTAAGCTTATTTATTCTTATTTAGTAGATGGGTAAAAAATTACAAAGAACCTAAATCACTCAGCTAAACTTAAAATAAAGCCAAAACTGTAATCCCACCTTACATCTTGTTACAAACTCCCTTCTTACTCCACAAAGCTCAAAACAACTTTTGACGAATGCATACCCCAGAGCTTCACTATGGAAGAGCTGACCCACATTACTATACAGGTCATAAACAATGTGGAAAACACATAGTTGTAATACAGAGAAGTATTAAAAGTAAAGAGAAGAGGAAGAAAACCAGAGTCATAGGCCTTTACTACACTGCTCAGGTTGCTTGCTCCTATAGGTGTCAGTCTCTATAGAACAGGCTGTAGTAGGCTCACCCTCAGCACTACAGATAATTTGCCAGGGCCATTCTTTCTATTTACCACATTGTATATAAATGGACTTTGTTTCCATCAACTAGCCTGTCTGATGGGACAAATTAAACAGCTTATAAAACTAAAACACATAGACAGTGATCTAACCCAAAAGTTTTGTACATTTTGGAAGGCCTCTGTTTCTGCTTATATCACACAGCTTCTTAAAATGTTAACCAAACAGTGGCAGTATTTTGTTCACTGCTAGGAGATCAGGTAGCCAGAGCGTGACAACTCTTATTATTCCTGTTTTTGCTAAAGGGCGAGAGTGCATCCTTTCAGGAGTACTGTGATTTAGCAGCTTCCAGATGATGTAGGTGCTGTTCCAAAAACAAGCATCTTACCTAGAAACAGGTCTTGCCTGAAGCACTCTGGTGGTACAGCTATGCTGATCAAGTGATTCTGAAGTAAACATCCTTCTCATTTACTTCCCAGCTTTTTTTCCCCTATGAGTCTCCCAGAATCAATGAGACTAAATCAGAAAAAGTGAAAGTTCTGGAACAAATAGCTTCCACAAGGTAGGCAACCCATGCAAGATGCTAACTAGCTAACTAAAGTGTTAGCAGCATTGACTTCACCCACAAGCCAGGTCTGCAAGCAGTGTACATGCAGAATGAGACAAGTTTATTTCCTTCTTGCAAATCACTAGTGGTATGAAGTACCCTATTTGTCAACCAAAGACTAAGAGTGCCTGAGCAAGGAAACGTCCCGCTTTTCACAAGCATCATTGATTGTAACTCTGTGAGGAATTCTTCTGAGATTCTGAAAGAGCGAACTAATTCTCAGCTGGGATAGCACTAGAGCACAGTCAAAACTGACACTGCAACGGGCACATAATACATAGGACAGGTAGATCTGTCATGGACAAGAGCCTTATTTGGAAACAGAAGTTTAGCACAGTAATGCCATTCACAGCTGAACAGTCACTACAGGAAAAGATGGACAACAGCCATTTGCCCTTCTGAAACGAACTCAATTCTGAAAAAACAAACCAGTATCAGAAACTTGCCTGTTGTGCACACACAGTACATAGTTTTCCACCCAAGTTTTAATACAGGTATTGCAAATACAGGATTTTAGCAATATGGTGGAGTCAGGATGCTATGTTTCAGGTTAGCACGTACTGGAATGGCAGGAAGATCTGACTTGTCTGTATGTTACAAGCTTGGAAACCTGAAACTAAACTGCAGTGGATAAGGACCCAGGTGCCTTTTTCATTCACTGTAAAAACATACAAATAAAAAATCACAAAGCATAGTGCTCCTTTGACAAGCAATTATTCAAAGATACAAGGTCCGAGTTATACACGCTTGAAGGCTGCACGTTAACTGTGTTGAGTTCGCCTTTCCTTTACCTAAGCATAAAAAAAAAGATGACAATGACTTTGTGAAGACAAACACACACAGTATAGTTTAGGTACTATGAATACTCTATGCCTTCAAAAAGCAAATTTGACAGTGTACCTGCATGATCTCTGTTGTCCTGTGCTCTCCTCATCAACCATTCTGAACTGCTAGAACAGAAGTTACTCCAAATTACCATTTGACCAGCAATTTCAGCGCCCATTCAGATCCACTATTTCAGACTGCTGCCCCATCATATTAAAACTGAACAGGCAGATCTGTAGTATCAATCTCTTGATTTGGCAACACCACACACTTTAAGAGTTTTATTTAAAGAAATACACATTTCTCTGACTTTAGAGCATAGAAAATACCACCTATAAAGCTGCTTTATATACTGGAACAGGGACATACAGAGTTTTCAGTCAAGATGACCAATCCTTTCACCTTAGCAACCTTCCTGCAGTGTCAGTGGACTAGAGGGGGCATTCAGTGGCAATATCCACATTAGAAACATCTTGAAAAGTTCTTACAAAGATTTTTTTTTCTGGTGCAGATTCATATGCACGCAATTTAAACTTGGTCCACTCACAAGCTCCACATACAGACAGCCTTCTTGGTTTTTACAGACCTCCTATTGCTAGATTAGAAGTGTTCACATATGTGTATGTGTTTGTGTGTGCACAAATACATGCATATACACAGAACTCAGAGGTTCAACACAAGATTTGCATCATCTTGTAACCCAGAAATAATGACAGAAGAAAAGATCACAATTCTATCATTAAGATACAGTCCAAGCATCATGTCTCCTACTATCATATATGCTTTTACATATGTATTAACACTTTGGATAGGAAAGACGTTTCATACATTAAATATTGACAACCTTGTAATGTATTAAATACATATTTATTCAATATTTTATTAAGATTATTAAAAAAAATAATCTTGGATACTCTTTATTTTCACAAGGTGTATGCAATTATGATGAGTAACCTACACTTAGGCTCTAATAGCCTAATCCAAACCCCATCAGCTTTAATGGGCTTTAGATCAAGCATGTGAGAGCACTGTAACAAACACTGTTTCAGGAGGTAATTCCCATGCAACATCAAACTATGACAAGACACAAGAGGCTAAAAATGGCTCATCATAATTTATTTTATGTTAAAATGTACAGCTTGGGGGAGGGGGTGTTGTTTTTTGCAGTTTTTATTTTTGTTTCTTGGGTATTTTTTGTGGTGGGGTTTTCTTTTTTGAAGTGACTGACTAAAAAGATAACAGATAAATACAAGAGTGTCACTGGGTCCTATTTTTACATGTATCAAGCCTCTTCTGTTCGGCCCTTACAGTCACTCTGTACAGGTACAAAGGCTACAAAAAAGGAAGCAATATAAACAGACACAAATAACTTTTGCCTTTTTACATGCGATCTGTAAGCTTAGTTTGAGCTATTCACACGCTACTGCTCTATTTATTCCCTTAAAAAATAACTCCAATATTTTATAAAGATAGAAAAATCTACAGATGGAATGAAAATGTAAAGTTAGAGGCATTTCCATAAAATAGCAACTTTACACCAAATTCACTATTTTGTTTTTTAAATCCTGCCAAGTATTTGGACATATATGAAAATGTTTCAAAACCTGACAAATAAACACTGCGATGTTTCAATCAACAAAAAAACATAACAGTATTTATAAAACAGAAAGCTGCCTTTTTTCCTACCCCAGACCCAAAGAAACTGGTCACAAAAATGGAAAAGAGTCTCAACTTTACACTAAACATACAGCAATAAAACCCTTTGAACTAACCAAAATGTGAATAGCTTTTGCAGCTTTTTTTATTATTTTTTACAAGTTTTATAATTAACAAAAATATAGTTCTGTTTCTTTTTTTTACCCCTCAAACTAGGGTAACCTAATCAAGGCAAAAAAATTAAGAAATGGCTTACTGTTAAGCACAACACTTGTACAGTACTACAAAATGCACTGTCACTAACAAAGACATTAGCGGCATGCGGAAGTGTCACCTTCAGAAACAAAATAATACAATAAAAGAACTGCTAAAAGGCATTTACATGTGGGGAAAGGAGACAGAAAAAGCTCACGATCCAGTACTGTCTGATAGTTTTGGAGTCTATTAATCCACATTTTTAATGGGAGCAGGCACATAAAATGGCTCTGAACCATCAGCTGCTGTGTAATTGCAGTTCGTAGAAAGAGTTCTTCCTTTCCAGAGAACTTCAAGCTCAATGAAATAAACAAAAAATGGAAAATCACCTAATTTCCCCCAAAGAAAAGAGAAGTTAAATCCCACAAAGTAAAAACAAAAAAAACCAACAAACAAACAACAAACCAAAAAAAACAAACAAAAAACAAAAAAAAACCAAAACAAGAAATAAAGAAAAAAGAAAAACTTGTATAAGGCTTTCTGCTGCATACAGCTTTTAAATGGTGCCAACAAATGTTTTTGCATTCACACCAATTGCTGGTTTTGAAATCGTACTCTCCAAAAGACATTTGTGCAGATCAATCCAATACGCCAGTTTGGTAGTCTGTCTCTCCAAAGGGCCTACCTTCTCATGTAGGATCCATTAAGAGACTGCTTAGACATGCCTGTATTCATGTACCCATGATGCCCTGGAGGAGTGTACATCATGTTACTGTGGGGTGCTGTCTGCATTGGTTGCTGTGCATATGGCTGAGTTCCCATCATCCCCATCTGCATCTGCATAGGGTACTGGGGCGTTTGATTCATATACCCATGGTTACCATGATATCCACTATTCATCATCGGCTGGGACATACTGTAACCGTTCATAGCATTAAGGGTGTTCATGTTCATGTTCACCGAATTAACATTATAAGCTGGGGCTGGCATCAAATTTACACTCATGTTCATACCACGCTGCATCGTTAAGGTCCGCGTAGGCCCTTGCATGGCCACAGTCTGTGAAGCACGCCCATAAATTTGTGGCTGATGGGCTGCAGCGGCAGGTGGCAGAGGCGTGGATTTGGTTCTTACAGAAACATGACCTTTGCTGGCCATCTGAGTCTGCAGTCTTTGGGTGTGGGATATTCCAATATTCGATGAAGTCATATTACGCTGCAAAAGGGGAGGTGGCAAATTCATGGGAGGAGGAGTTAGGTTGGGGGGAGGGGTCATGGTAGTCTGTGCTTGCGGTCCTCCAGGAACAGCATGTGGAGACTGAGAAAGCTGAACAAGCCCTGTATTACTTAAGGGGGTGGACAAAGAGGCACTGTTTGCATAGGAAGTTACAGCAGCTGAATGGCTGTAAGGCAAAGAATGATCCATAAGCGTGTTAGTTAACTGTTGCAGTTTGGCAAGGCTAAAGGTGGCAGATGGCTGTGAGTAATGCCCCGCTCCAAATTCACTCTGCCCCATTCTTTCATATAATCCAATGTTGGCATTGCCAGTCTCGGGGATTTCAGTTAACTGCATAGGTGGTGTAAAATTAGCGGCCATGCTGCACTGGGATAACTGTTGGTTGCTGCTTGGAGGCCTTTCAACAACACAACCTTGGGGAGATTTTACGTTACAAGTGGGAGGAGAATTGATGTTTGTTTGTTGCATCATACTACAGCTTCCATTAATGTTAGACATCTGCTGTGTCACTGCACAGCTACTCTGTGTTAGGTTACTAGATGTAAGGCTACTGTACGAGCAACTGTTCTGCGAAGAGTTGTTTCCACAGATACTGCTACCCATTGTAGAATCGTAACTGCTTGGGTTTTCATAGTTTTCTGTTGTGCTCTCAATGCTCCCTAAGTCACTAAACCCACTATCCACAACTTGTTGTGAATGATCAGAAACTGAGGGAACATCCATCATCGGGCTGGTCTCCATGTTCTGTAGAGATGGCACAGAAATGGCACTTTGATCTGGGCTGATCTGAGCGTAGCTGTTCTCTAAAGGAGCAACATTTGGACTACTAACAGAACGAACTGACTGGCTGGGATGAGAGTGCACAGATGAAACTGGACTACTGTGGTCAGACTGCTGACAGTCATCCAGTGTGGTCATTTGGGGACTTTGGTCATTATGAGCATAGTTTTGCAAACTTCTACAGGCCTCTTGAGTCTCTGCACAGTCCTGAAATGTATCTTCATGTTCACTTGCTTCTTGGGTTAGAGACTGTACTGCTTGAACCGTCTCTGAATCAATCTCCATGTTCTCAGTATTCTCTCCCTTGAAATCGGAATGTAATTCTTCACCAGTTTTTTGGTCCTGGTTGTTATCTGTATGATCATCGTCAGATTCAGGCACCGGGTCTGAATCTGTAGCAAGTTCTTTCTGGTCGCTTTCACACTCATCAGCTGCAAGGTCAACACCACAATGCATCAAGTCCTCTTGATTTGAATTACCAGTTTGAACATTTACGTCTAAAAAAGATTGCTGTGTTTCCAGCATTTCTTTGAAAGCTTCACCAGGCAATTCCTCTTTCTCCACTTCTGCTCAACCCATGTGGCTATCATCTTCATCATCTGCATCATGATCCTCATTGTGAGAAGGTTCTTCATCATCATCCTCCTCCTCCTCCTGATCATCCAAATGCACAGACTCCTCTTTTTGCAGGAACACCTCTTCTGCTTTGTCTTTTTCTTGATCTTTTGAATTGATTCCACCTTCTTCTACATTCCTTTCCTCTTCCCCAGCTTTCACCGTATCATCTTCTTGCTTTTCAAAGGGTTCACTAGGTGGATGCAGAGGTTCAGGCTCTACCTCTTTTGCCTCATCATCTGGTGGTGGTAATACTTCAACAGGCTCTTTAGTGGCTTCCTCCGTAACAACAGAAACCGAGCAGGGCTTGTCTTCAGCTACTTCCTTGTGTTCCTCCACCAGCACCTGATAGTCAGGCTCCATAGGAGTCTCCGGTGGGGTGTATAAATTAAGCTTAAAGCCAGGCTTTCTTTCTTTGCTTTGTCTCCATTTAGATGGACCACGCTTAACTCCTTTGGGCCAACCCTGCTTACTCTTTAAAGGTTCAAGATTGTCTTTAGTGCTTTCTTCCAATACAGCTACATCCTCTGTATTATCTTTGGGAGGCAACAGAGACAAAAGAAAAGTCTTAGCTTCCACAAACTAATACATATTTTCATACATAAACCCAAAAGTACTTTACAAACTCAAAATGTATCAAGAAACTTTGGATTAAGAGTTTTAAACAGATCTCAAACCATGATAGAATGACATAGTATCTACTACTCAAACACACACAGATACGTAACGCTGTTCTTGTTTTGTGGCCTTTTAACAGTGACCATCAGAAACACCATTTATACACTAGAAGAATCCCAGAGATTTAAATCACAAAACATGTAAACTAAAGCAAAAATTTTGTCCAAATATATGATTATCAACCTTTGATCTTAAAACAGAGGTATGCCATCACTTTATACAGACATTGACCTAATGCATATTCATCTTTTTTTGACAGTAATAACATGAGAGACTGGAGTTTCCTGTTTGACCATTCTGAAGGACAAGCCACAGTAGGCAGATAGTTATGCTTTAGTACCAGCACTGGAATAGAAAGAAAAAAAAGGTGGTTCATTCTAGTTCATTCTTCTCATGGGCAGTGTATGATGACACAGCTCACGATACGTGAATAAAGCCAAAAGATAACTGAAATTAAACACAGTGTGTCAGAACACTAAATTAATCCACTGACTATAAAAAAACCTACCAAAACACATTCACTCCTTTCCTCTATCCCCAGATACCACTTACATATAAACCAGAAAATGGAAGACTTCTCAGGCACTTGCGAGTGTAATGGCTTCAGCAATACTCCTTTGCCAAGTTTTTTGCCTCTCACTGCAGTGTTCTAACACTCCTATAGCCAATTAACGTGATGACATGGTCCATGGACAAATACACAGTATCAGTCTAGCTAAAGCAGTGCAGACCTGACCACTGGGACATACCTGCAACACTCTCAATTTGCTTCTAATTAGTTTAATTCATTTCTGTTGAGAAGCAGGTAAAAATGGTAATATTCTAATGCTCCTGTGCACTGGTTTGCAACAGCCTCAACATTCGTAGGCATGGTTGCTCCAGTGGCAAAAAAAGCTGTTTAAACACAAAATCAGTGCACGATCCCTCAACTGAGAATCACAAAGATTAAACTTCCCATGCAACTCTGAAAACACTAAACTAGTACCCACTGGTTTCTTAAAGAGAATATATAGACCTGAGAATGTAGTCATTCATTCTGGAATTAAACTTTGTAAGCGTTATTTGAGAGCCAAGAGGTCAAGGGATGAATACATGTTCGGAATAGCTCATTAGTAGTTTCACTATCCATCCACTAGCTTTTCTGCCACGAAACACCCTTGAAATCAAAGCTTTGAAAGAATACAGTTAAAAATATCCCTCTCTTTTGTGGGGAAAAATATAGGGACTTCAGTGCTGAGAAATAACAAACATTTCATTGAATTACCAACAGTGCTGAATAGAAAGATATTTGTGTACATCAAATCTTACTTTTTGCTTGTATCCTTTACCAAGGATACAAAACCAGTGTTAGACAATATTGCAGTGATACCCCTGCTCTGCTGAGTATGAAATGCCCTGTTGCAGGAACATAAAAATTGGTTTTTGCAACATGACCGTAGTGCTTCAAACTGGAAAGTATTTGTTTTCTGAACACAGAATCAAATTACAGTATTAATAGGTCAGGAATAACAAAAGGAGTAAACAAAATGAAAACAACAACAAAAATCTGAAGTTACAACTGAATTCTAATAAACTATGTGAGATTAACGGCTGCAGTAGCACTTCTAAGCATAAAGCATTATTAAGATCGTAAGATTGCAAGACCAAAAAGGTAAATATAGCTTGCTAAAAATTTCCAGATTTATGACAGCAATAAACACTTACTTTGAAGGCCACTGGACAAATTAATTTTGTGAAGATATAAGAACATTTTTAGCTTACTTGTACAACTGTCATCACTCCTGTAACATCGAATATCTTTCTCCTCCTTGTTCTGCTCTTCCTCCTCCTCCTTCTCCTGTTTCTGCTGCCCAGGTTGATACTCAAAAGCTTTTCTAATCACAGGCTTCAAGTCGTCATCTTCCCCATCAATCTCACAGGTAGGTTCCAGCTGTGGCATGGGACGCTCTTCATCTGAGTTATCAAATGGCTCATTCAACACCTCTGTTGTTTCTGAAATTGTCTCTGTTGTAACACTGCTATTAATCCTTCTGCGTTTACGGCCCCTTTTCTTTTTCAGTATGAAAGGTCTCTGAAAAATAATTCCACAAATATAATTCTTCCTACACTCCCAGTTGTTAGCTGACTCTGGACATAAATACATTTTTGTAAAGTGGGCTTACAATAATCTATTTAGTCATTAAAAAAAACCAAAAACCCAAGAAACAACCGCCTTATTTTGCATCAAACTCAAATACAGACAGACTCTAAAAGCAAAGCGTCTAAACAGTTAAAATAGGTAAGTATCTATATGTGCACACAAATCTCTCTGTAGGTGAAAAATAAGACTAGAAAGTACTTCATATTGTAGTGACTTTTACCACCTTCTGTCGAATTATATTCATAGTAATGTTACATAAATTGTACTTACACATTTTTCCTCTCTACATTTGTAATTCCCCGACAACCTCTACAAGTACCAAAGTTTTTTCTTCTACATTTCTGGGTTTCTGCTATTTTAGAAATAAGTGCATATATAGAAACGTAGGTAACAGCAAAAGAAGTGCACCTCCAGCTTCATATGGGTATCAACAACACACTAGAAGAATCCTACAGTTGGCTGCTATAGAAAAAAATCTGTTCAACAGTTTATATTCCTATTACTATGCACTCTCAGAAATACCCAGTTACTTTAAGTTTGCTCATCTAAAAGTATAAACTTAAAGGGACAGTCCAATTCCCTAATTCTCACCAGAGCTGCCTAAATACACATGCTAAGGTGAGTGCTTTAAAATTTTGGGATGCTTAGTTTACTAATCAGCTAATCAGCAATTCAAATAGCTGATTTTTCAATGAAATTAAGAATTATTCAAATACTGCAGTAACCAGAATTTAAAATTTATATCTCTTGGAAATTAGAATGATATGAATTTTAAAAAATCTTCTGGTTTAACAGCATTTGCTTTTGAAAAATCGTATCTCCCTTTAAGGAGCTCCTATATTAAAAACAAAAAGACAAACCCCACAAGCTGGACTCCATCTTAAAATGAAAAGAGGAAGAACCATTAAAATATTGAATCAATACCAATGCCAAACAGCAGAGGGCAATCAGTAGCTTAAAAATTAACAGGAATTTCTGATTTTTTTGTGTCGCTAGTACTTTACAGTTCTGCGAACAATCCAAAAGATAAAAAGTTGGATGGATCAGAAAACCAGGAGCTGTTCAGTGTCCAAACAATACAGGAGAATTAAAACAGGTCAATGAATGTTCATTATAAAAACAGATTGTTATTCTGATTACAATGATTTGACTGAAATCAAAGACGAATGACTTCAAACAAAAACCACTGAGGCAACACACCTTTCTTTTTATGGCCAGCGACTGTGGCTTTGTCAGCCGAGGAGGTGAACTTTGCTGATTCTCATCCCCGCCATCCTCCTCGCTGCTTTCCTTAGATTGCTCTGTGGATTGCCCTCGCTCTCCCACCACTGCCACACTTTCTGGAGATCGCAAATATTTATTTTTAGATTGTACTTTTGCAGGTGATTGCCTACTATTAGTTCTCGTGGAGAATATTTCTTGCTCTTCCTTTTCCCAGCAGCTAGCTTGTTCCATCAGACGCTCAGCCTGAAAGGTTGAGGTTAAAATAATGGGTCACTGAAACAGCATTTACTTAGCCATATCCTTCACGTTCAGCTAAAGAGTTACAATAAGTCAACCCTGATTAGCACTGCTGGCTAACCTAGCAACAACATTTCAGCTGAATCATCTAGCAGCTCCCTTACAACAGTTAGGATAACAAACCAAAGAAGATTGCATTTCATGGGATATTTAGCACTATTAATGATGCAGCGAATTGATTTAAGTCCTTTAGCACTACATTACATGCCCACTGACATGGATCACTTTGAGCAAGTTCATAACACAAAGAATCGATTGACACTGCAGCCCCTGAGCTCTGCACCAAATTTGATCTGATTACATGCTCTTCGACTACCTCAAGAGTGATAAATACAGCTTCATGACATGTGATTCATGTTTTAAGTTTTCATATTCACCCCCCCAAAGTTACCATGTCCTGCTGCACAGCCTCCAAAAATTGTGCATTACAATCCAGTATCTTCTATCATTAAGCAGTAGTCAGAGTTAAAAGTGCTCTATTTAAGACAGCCTAACGTTGAATATTCAGACAGTGCAAATTCAGAATAAGAAGTTTCAGCTATTACCTCCTTTTCTGCTTCTCTCTCTTCTTCAGAAACTGCAGCATTAGGAACTAACAAAGGAGTCCATCTCAAGCTTTCAGGATCTACTTCATTGATACGTGGGTTCGCTTTCAGTTTCTCCATATGACTTGAAATCAGCTTTTCCCTTCTAATAATTACAAATCTACAATCCAATAAACAGTAATTTATTTTATAAAGTGATCACCTAAATCAACCTTCCTACAGTTTAAATCCTTTTGCACAATAACCTGTGAAATAGATGGGTAAATAAATAGATACACCAAACTAAAAATATATCAGCAGATATACATATTAAACGCTTTGCCTACTGACTGTTTACTAAGAGGAAGCGAGGAAACCACAGTTTATGAAGTCAAAGCTCAACACTAAACTTCACTAGGGCAACAGAGAGGAAAGTAGAGGTTTTATAGTTGACTACCCTAAAACCATGCAAAAAGTTTAGTGTTGGCACTTCAGTCACCGCCAGAACAATTTCCAATTTTAATATGACACACAAGCACAAATAGAAAACACTGTTGATCATCAAGTAAAGAGTGAGAAAGTTGTTAATATTACAAATGAAGATGGCAGCTAACTGGGCAAGAAAGCAAGTTAAAAACACAGGTTTTCCAATGAAGCATAGAAAGGTAGCTTAGTCCTATGCTGATGCAACAGAAAACAACTTTTTAATTACTATGAAATGAAGTAGCCTATCAAAAGTAGGTAAAGACTAACGTAACAGCACAGTGTGTTAATATACCAGCACATATCCCACCAAAGTGCCCTGTTACAACGAACTATGTAATTTTAAACAACAAAAATAAGCTGGGTTTCTTTTTTTCAGCAAGTATTTCAAATGCCGTAAAAATCAGGTAGGTTAAGGGATGACACTGTTTTTCACTGAGAGAACGCTTTAAAAAAAAAAAATCAGATCCAGGTGAACCCTTTTCACAAAATGTGACAAACTTCTACTTCACTACATACAAGAAAAAATTAATATAACATAGGAAATTGTAAGAAACCATACCAAATTCTCAAGGTAAGTGCCTGGCAGGAATTTCAATAATGTCTTGTCCTGGCTCAGGCACTGACCTTCAGGATATGTTTAACCAGATCAGTTCATGGCCCTGTCTAAGCTTTACTACCTGTGAAAAAAGACTAACTGACCTTGTTCATAAAGTATTTTGAATTCTAGACATGAAAAAACTTTATTTTCTAACTGTGTGTCAGTAATCAGGGCCTACAATACTTTGTGACAGGGCAGAAGGTGCATATAAGTAATGAATGCACATTTGATTGTCCCTTAAAATGCATTTGTACCATCAGGTTGTCCATAAATAAGCACCCCTGAAAGTTAAGATTTTAATGCAATAGCACAATGCAATAGCACTCCTCTTACAACCCTCGTAACACCAGCCTTTCTGAAGACTTGCATACTTACTAGTTCAGAACTTAACTGGTTTTGAATACTAGTGTTGGTACACACAAAAGTTACCGAGGCTGAGCTATTCCTGATCTTCATCTCATTTTTCAGCAACTCACTGTTTGTAAGGCAGTTTTGCTTAATTACAGTCTCTATGACTGGAATATCCAGAAAGAATTAAGCAGCTTTTTAGAAACATAATTACCACTGAAAGTCAGTTATGGCATTTTATGACAAAAAAAGCCCAAACAACAAAAACAACCCACTTAAAATCTAAAATAACAATCAAGATCATTAAGAAAGAAGATATTCACAAACCAAGAACTCACCTTCCCAGTGCACTAACTTTCAACATAGATCATGACATAAAATAGAAACTTTAAAAAGTCATTTGAATTCCCAGTACTTTGGGCAGAAAGAAGACTTCATGTAGAACTGATCTGACCCCATGGACTGAAAATGGGCATGGGAAGAGAGAGACTGCCACCCACAAACCCAGACTTTTCCCTCACTGGTATGCAAAGCAAGGTATTTGCAAAACAAGTTATTTTCAAAGCAATAGTCAGGAATTGTACTTATGGATGATGATACTGAATTAAACAAAATTCTTCACTGAAAGTGTTTCAAGCTGGCCACACCCTTCTAATAACCTTTAACATGAAAGAGGATCCAAACAACCACCATTTGTTTAAGGAGAAAACCTCTTTATGTAAGACCCCATTAACAAGACTTGGCTGTATTGACTTCTTCAGTACGGTGGTTATCAGTCATTTTAAAATCAGAATTTTACACAGACATTTTTCACATCAAGTGTTTTGTAAGTAGAGAAACTCAATGTTTTTTTCTCAGTATTTTTAAATTTTTTTTACAAGATTCACTGACCTATCTTCTCTTTTATCTATCATGCTATGTTGCTGCAGGGTTGTGGCAATATCATGCGGACACATTCCAGTAGCTCGACTCATTCCTTTGATGCTGATTTGTTTTTCGTGGTGGCAGTTAAGGTATTCTAATACGACACTTTTCCAGTAAGCCAAGTAGGAGAGACGACCCAGATCAGACAATGGCTTTTCAGGGGATCCTGCTTGACCTTCTCTTCTAGAAAGTAAATAGCCTAGAAGGAAAAAAAACAACAAACAGAATACCTTATTGAGATAACAAAACTAAAAGATTTTAAATACCTCTTAAAAAAGCTGGTATTAATAGAGATCAGCACGACTGATTACATTATTGGTAACTCTTGTAATTAAAGAAATCCTATCCACAAAAGAGACTGTGTTTCATCATTATAGTGACATAGAAAAAGATTAAATCCTTGTAAGAGACTCAGATCTTATAAGAATCAAACATTAACCAAAATTCCGCCTCTAATCATAAGGCAAAGAGGAATGAAAAAGCCAACACTTTTCAGAACAGGTCTCATCATACATGATCTCATTTACAACTTCAACTGTCTGGTCTTTTGAGACAATTTTACACCTGAATTACACCACTAAAGCCAAGAATTTTCAGAAGAATCTCAAGAGAATGTATCATGGGTAATATCTGTTAAGTCAGTTTTCTTCAAGAAGCCCCAGGTGACATAAGTTTTTGATTAAACAGTTAGTTGTTGTATTTCAGAAGTGGCATACAATTCACAAGTTGAATTACTATGAGAATTACTTCAGAGAAATAATTAAAAATAATCTCCCTTAATTCACGTTTAAGAATATTCACATAATTCCAGTTGGCAGTCTTCAAGAGAGTAACTGATCAGCAACTGAACAATACACCACCTTCATTTTATATTCTATGTATGTTGTAAGTCCTTTTAAACTCTCTTTAGCTTTAAGAAGCGTTTATAATTTAAAGTAGAACACACCTGCCTGGAGATAACAGAAAAGTCTAGTATTAGCCACCAATAAAACTAATTCAGGAGAAAGAAAAAAAATAACACAAATTAATAAAATGTATCCTTTCACAGTAATTCATCCCTCCATGATACGTATTTTGCACTGTGCCTTTACAAATGCTACCAAACATGGGCCTTAAACACCAGGCTTACAAATGCTTATTCCACCTTAAGCATGGACCTCGTGCTTATGGAATTACATTACTCAAAGTTATTTGGAATCCACCAATATACAGGGCTCTTTTGCCTTCCAATATTCTTAAATACTTTTTTTTCAAATTGGAATTCGTCCTTTTATTTTTCAAAGATCACTTCAAAACATTATCTAGTACAGCCATGTTACATTTTCTAAACAAATCCTCCTGACTTCTTCACAGAGTTCCTTCTCATCAAGTTAGCTCTCAATTAAAAACATGATTAACATACAGCTTTGAGTGAAGCAGTGGTCGCGTCCTTACTTTGCCGTATGCTCTACCATATACAAACCGTGTACATACACGCACATATCTACAAATATATATATATATAAATATATTAAAAAAAATGAAATGTTCACATACATACATGCATAAATATTTACTCAGCCTGAAACAATGATCTTCTGTTTTTCAGGGGCAGTACAAAGGTCCACAACAGTATTTGGAAAATACATATGCACTGGTCATCATACTCTAACCTCCAGTTTTCATAAAAACGTTCATACAGAAAAGCAGACAGCCCACTACATTCCAAGTGATCAGTAACAACATAGATAATGAAATAAGTAGTGTTCCCTTCATATGTATTAGCATGATTTATGATAAAATGCAAGAGCTTCAGGAGGAATACCATCCCACACCTGCCTGTTCCTACACAGCACACAGACGCCTACATAAAGCCTGGCTACATCAGCATGGTACAACTGGAAGCTCAGCAATCAGATTTATTCAGTTTTACAGAAGAAACACTACCTTAGACTGAAAAGAAGGAAGGTGTTTTAACATGTGAAATTGTAAATAGTAAATGAAATAGTAAAACTTTTTTATAACTACATGATACATCTTAGTACTACGTGTAACTGTTGTTGACAGGAAAAGCCAAACTTGACATTCAAAACCAGATTGCATCCTGAATAGTTTGAAGGTAAAGAACTGTTTTACTTCCAACTGCACAAAAAGAGACCTAGAGCATACAGCCTATTCTGCGTAATTTTAGACAAGGCTTCAATTGTACTAAGAAAGAATTTTGGATCAGCTTGTTTACAACATATAAAAACAAGTTTTAAACTAAGATGTCATTGCCTACAGAAAAACATGCAAAACTGCAGCAGTACAAGTAGCAATATAAGTCTCAGTACAGAAAAGAGAGAGGGAGAATAATCCAGATATTTAAAATAAACACATTAGAAGAACTTAACAGTTGCTTCAAGTAACTTTACTGTTTAACCTAATAACTTCACACTCAAGAAAACTCGGGCACTAATGGAAAGTGTTTGTAGGCTGTTTGCAAGACCTGGATTTCATTCTTGTATTTTACTATACTTCAAAATTACTTTGACAGGAACTTTCTTCCTCCACTTGCATTTTCCTCATATACAACAGGGCTGCAACCACACTTTCTTGGTAAACAACTTATAAGACATAACAAGAAACCACTATCAAGAGTTTGGAATCATTAGTTCAGTAATCACAAGTAGCTTTAGAGTTTGACTAGCATATTCTTGCCCATTGCTTCATTGGTCACTCTGACATATTTTCACTCTGGGTTAAAGCAATGAACGGCAGTAACATGTCAGTATTCTTCCATTCTACAATATACACTATGCTTATCCAAGATATCCACATTCTATAGGATCAAAAATACGTATCAGAGCTATCAGTCTCAATTACATGTAGCGAGCACTGAATGGAAAGTTTCTCTTAACAGATTCTGTGATTTGAATGACATCTAATAAATTAAACTTACCAAAGAGACGCCAAATAATTGATCTAAGTTGCAGGTAAATAAAAAACACTGATCTTGGTAGCTCGTGTATCTATCCTGAAGCATCTGAAATGAGTACAATATGCCCCTGTTAAACAGATACCCCCAGTGCCGTTGTGTCTACCTAATCGTAATAATGGATAGCCTCAAAGTAGAACCTGAAAGAATTTTCTTAAACAATAAACCCTGACACGAGACTATGAACAACAGCAACATTCAGAGGACAAAATATAGCTTCTTCCCACCCACTCCCCAAGAGTAAACAAGTCAGACTATGTTACACAAAAGCCCCAACACAAAATATCAGGTCCAATCTAGAAGAACAAAGAGTTGTCTATCTTGTCTTCTGGGCATATGAATAATAGTATCACAAAACTAAACAGCCAAAATACCATCAATGATTTTTATTTCTTGCCTTATCTCCAGCCTTCATAGTGAAGCAACATGCCACATGCGATTTACAGCCTTTGATTTTTGTCATGAAAACCTCTCCAGAACCACTAAGGATTTATCTTATTCAAGGTTTAAAATAAGAAAAAATTCCATCTGAGAAAGGGATAGTGTAAGATACACATGTTTTATGCCTTCGACACAAACCTAGGAGATAATCAGGCATTAAAACATACATTTAACAAAACTAACTTGAGCAGTATCTTGCAATTTCAATCTACAGCATTCCTAGTGTGTAACTATCCTGAAATAGCTATGGCAGAGCCCACAACGCACTAACATGAAAACAGTAACTTCAATATCTCAGTCTCCAGAAACTTTCAGTTAGATAACTAGTGATTTTTTTTACGCTCAGTTCTGCCTCTTAAAACCAATGAAAGAGCGTGAGATCAAAGGTCCAGCTTGACAGTAGTCAAAAGAAAAATCCCACAGACAGGCAACCATCTTGTGAACCTCATATGCAAACAGAATTAGTCTGGCCCTGTCCAAACAAATAGAACCCACCAAATGTGTATCATCCCCACACATTTTGGCATTTTCTGAGAACTTCACGAGATTTGTTAAGTATCACTGTCATTTGCAAGCAGCACAGTCCATCTTCCTCCTCCACTGCATTTACCTATGTGTTCACCAGTACTGGTCTTTATTGACACGAGGTGAACTGACTTGTATCTCTCTAGCTCTCTCCTGAAAATCTTCTAAAAATCAGGATCATATCAGCCTCCTTTCAGTCCTATGGTATGAAAGCAGTTTTATGCATACTTCAAATTACAAACTGCCATAAGCAGTTATTTCATTACTAAGTCTCTTTTATCTCCAAATCCCCAAGACACATCCTTCTTTCCCTGTCATACACACTTCCAAACTTCACTAACTTAGCTTTTTAGTATTAAGCATAAATCACTACACAGTTTTAAATAAGACAGATACGATTTAACTTCAGACAGATGAATTTAATTTTATTATCTCTTGAGGAAATACAGACTTGTCCCTTTGCTTTTAACATGGCAGCAAAGGCAGGCTAGCCCTCCAAGGGTTGAGAAGACAGAGATCCAGATCACACAGAGACCAGTGACATAGGAAGAAGCACCAAAGAGACACCAAACAACTGAAGTGGTGCACTGAGGAAGACCAAGCAAACAAACTAAAACTGACAGAAGGAAGTCACGTGAAGTTTGAAGACATTCTTGAAGGACTCTGCTGCAATCTGTGTGCCCTCTGTACAGCCTTCATATTCTATAGCAAGAAACAAATCAATTTATCATTTCACTTCTGATAAATGGTCAAAAAAAGAGATCTAGCTAAAAATTAAATAAAAAAAAATTAATTAATTAATAAAAGTGGCATTTCTTTGAATGCATTTAAGACTGACCACTACCAGACATTAGGTTTTCAAGTAAGCTAAGTCATTTATTGGGTAGGCCAAAAAGTAATTGCAGGTTTTTTTGTAACAGATGGACAGACACGTCTTGACACGTAACTAGCTTCATTTAAAACCACAAATTCGTTATGTAACTTGACAGCTGATAGTTCAAGCTTGTTTTAGAAATGGAAAGTGCTCAACTTCATTAACGATTATTTATTTGGTGTTGATTTCAAACTGGAAAATCAAAAGCAATATTTTTGTCACATTTTGCTGTATTGCTTCCAAAAAGGAAAAAACACTCTGCAAGCTCATAAAAAGTTCTGTGATCTGTATGGTCAAGGTGCCTTAAAACTACTACAGCAGTGTCAGAATTGGTTTGTTAAATATCAGTCAAAAGATTTTGATGTTAAAGACGCACCACACTCAGGAAGGCCAATCAAAGTTG